GAGTTCAAAGCAGGTCCTGCTGACACTCCTGTGGAGGGGGCGGCGGCTGAGACAGCTTCCTCCTCTCCGGGACCGAAAAATAGACATTAGGTGACAATTTACGAGACCGTCATCCGGGAGAGGGCTTGACCCGACTCCGGAGGAGAACGGCCCGGACGGGGGTCATCTCGGCGACCCCTCGGCCCGAATCGCGTCCCTGGCAACAGACCCGGGACCAATAGAAGCGCAGAGGGACCAACATTCGGACCAACCAAAACCTCGGGATTTCGGGTGAGGAAAGATTATAAAAGCCCGAGGTCCCAAGGACACGGGGAGGTTGGGAGCTGGAGATTCAAGTCCGACGACTTCATACGAACGGATCCGGAATAACCGAGGAAGAAGAAGACTCAGAAATCCAGTAACGGACGGAAGGAACTCACTCGACAGGAAGGAACTCACTCGACTTCCCAGTGCCAAATTCTTCCACCCTTTCCCACCTCCAAGCATCTACCTATAACGTCGGAGTACGGACCTTTTCCTTCGTTTTATTTGTGCTAACCTATCATCGGAGAACGGACAAGCAGACGAACTGCCTCGGACGGACGCCTGTCAACATTCTGACGTTGTATAACTCATTGTAAGCATGTTTTCTAATCCAAATAAACGCGTTAACTGTGGAAATACGGTCTCTGTGTGAGTCTTTGCGTCCAGCAAACCGCGACCCCCATACGGAAAAGGCTTTCTCGTGTCATCCTGACAGATCACGGGTAAAGCGACGTAACGTAACCTTTTCTCCCCCCTTAAGGGCTCACATCACTACAGTGGTGTCTGCCAACCCCACACAATAGGGCTTTTAAAACCCCACAACTAAATTATTCAGTAACTAAATTATATAATTGCAAAATTAAAAACATTTATAAAAAAAATAGTGTAAACATATTTAAATGCAATTAATGATAGAAATTTGATATTAGATTAATGCTAAATAAGTAGTGAATGTTTGTAATGAACACAGAAAACTATGTGGATAGATTTCTTTTATTCAATACTTTATCACTTAAAATAGAAGTATAAATATACTTTTTACATTTAAACTTATATTTTTAAATATTTATTTCTATTTATATTTGTAATGTAATTACAATATACCATATTTACTTGCATATAAGATAGGGTTTTTATTCATTTATCACAGTTTCAAATTCCTAGGTCGTCTTATACAGTCAGAGTATCCATTTTAAATTGTATCAATTCTTTTTGAAGCTTTAAATTATCTATTTGTAGTTTCCGATTACCTATTTGGTCTTCCATTTTTTAAAAATCAAGATTTTATTTTTCTTTTAAATTTTAGTAAAAAAACTAAAAAATGTTATGGCAATATTAACACCTTCACTGCTAGATGTAATATGATATTTTGCGTCACGGGGGGCCAAAATGAGAAAATTTGATATCTAATATTTTATTTTAATGCAAATAAAAGGGTCGATATATACCAGTCAAGAGAGGGGAGATAAGAAAGATATATGCACGATGACCGGCGGTCGTACGGCCTGTAATACGACAACCTGGAATGCGACGACAACCGCATAAATGTGGAATTAATCAACAAAATTGAATAATTTGCGTTATATTCGTTTTTCCGACGATTTTAGCTATGATTCGCTCTTTTGTAGGTCGATTGACTTTGTTTCAGCCAATATGTGTGTTGTTACCACCACTGGGCCATAAATATTCGGTAATTACACTTCCCCTGCCATTTACAGTAAATGTACACAGTTGGTTGAACTCAATCAAAGGGAAACTCCTTCTAAAGTTTTATTGGTATCTTCTGTCTTTGTTGACATTACCGTAACTAATCACAGACTTGTGAAAGGAAAAATTGCCGCGAAAAGTCCCGCCTCCAACCTACAAAGTAAAATGTAAAAAGTCACAATAAATTTGCTTTTGAAATTGTTTTTTTAGCTCTAACTAATTTAACGTTTTAAGACATTAAAGTAGCTAATTCGACAATATTTAATCGTATAAATATGTTTTTAAACTATCTAGCAATAAATATTCCCGGGAAACTCCACCTCTCTATAGTAAGTATATGGAAGACATTCACGCTGTTAATTGGCATTAAAATCTTTGTTTCTACGCCTATTACGCTCTAATTGGTAATTTATATTATGACAGAATCAACTTCAACGAATGAGAGTGTTTTCAGAACCATCTGATCTGGATTTTCCTGCAAAGAACCAATCCACGTGATTGAAGGCATTACGTAAACAAATGTTAAAAAATAGCTATATTCATTATTTTAGAGCAAAATTCTACTAGTTTTCATGTTATTTGACTCTACTTAGACAAGAAGATTTTTTTTATCAAAAGCTTCCAGCTGAAAAATTTTCCGGGAAACTCATTACTTCTGGATATTGCATAATCGCAATAAAAAATTAACTAATCATTTATTATAGGGTATTATTATATAAAGCGTAGAAAAAATATGTAAAAAGTGTCAAATATTCACTCTTATAAAAGTATGTTGATAAACTTTGACCNAACTCCACCTCTCTACAGTAAGTATATGGAAGACGTTCTCACTGTTAATTGGCATTAAAATCTTCGTTTCTACGCCTATTATGCTCTAATTGGTAATTTATATTATGACAGAATCAACTTCAATGAATGAGTGTGTTTTCAGAACCATCTGATCTGGATTTTCCCGCAAAGAACCAATCCATGTGATTGAAGGCATTATGTAAACAAACGTTAAAAAATAGCTATATTTATTAATTTAGAGCGTAATTCTACTAGTTTTCATGTTATTTGACTCTACTTAGACAAGAAGATTTTTTTATCAAAAGCTTCCAGATGAAAAATTTACCGGGAAACTCATTACTTCCGGATATTGCGTAATCGCAATAAAAAATTAACTAATCATTTATTATAAGGTATTATTATATAAAGCGTAGAAAAAATATGTAAAAAGTGTCAAATATTCACTCTTATAAAAGTATGTTGATAAACTTTGACCTAAAAATACCCGAGCCACTACCCACTCCCCGCTGTTGGTCATATAGGGAGACAGAGTATATTGTAAACAAGGACTTTACTCAGAACTGTTTATATATACGTGAGGGCAAAGTCGAATTTTTGCAGTTACGTAATAAGAGAAAATACGTAAACAATTGCTTGCAAATTTGCATTGTATAGTCGATTACTGCAATATTCATCAAAATAATATAGAAATACTTTTTATTCTAAGTAAGATTTATTTTGTATCGGTCGTATGGCTCACTAACGGGAGATTACTTTCCCCAAGGCTATATATTTTACAACCCCACTCTCATTAGACATCCTTCCCTACCTAAAAGATTTTACATCTGTTTTCTTTGTCTTGTAATCTAAGACCCCTACAGGAGAAAGTACATGTGTGATGTAGGATAATAAACATTCCATGCCAGTGGAATTTTACAGTTGGCAATTATTCAGTCTAACTTTCGATATGGCAAGTACAAGTGGTGTGTCGCGTTACAAAAAGCAGTGAAAGCAGCGAAAACAGTGAAACGATTTCTCAGACAGAAGAACTTAGCGATAATGAACCATTATCACTAAGTTCTTCTGTGATTAGTGAAGACAAAGAAGAAATAATTCAGGTGAGTGGGATTTGGCAACTCATTCGACCCTATCAACAGTTCAATCAACAAATCTTTCCACTTGCATTCAGTGGAGGATTGAAAAATATATATTTATCATCGAGTGATTAGCCCATAAAATTTTATGAACTTTTGATGAATGAGAGAGTAATAGAACATATTACACAACAAACAAACATTTATGCTGCACAATCATTGGCAGGAAAAACTATGACTAAATGTTCCAAGCTAAGATTATGGAAAGATACAAGTACAGGAGAAATTAAGAAATTTCTTGGACTTTTATTGTGGATGGGGTTAGTGAAATACCCAAAATTAGCAGACTATTGGAGTACGAAAAAGATTTATAAAAATTACGTTGCATCACCAACTACGTCACGAAACAGATTCGAGTCATTACTGTCGATGTGGCATTTTTCCAACAACGAAGAAAGTAATGGAGACAGAATATATAAAATAAATCCTCTGAAAGACTTACTCGAAGCGCTCTATAAATATTATAATATACCTGGTGAATATTTATGTATAGATGAAACGATAGTCCCATTTAGAGGACGATTATGTTTCCGTCAGTATGCACCTGGAAAACGACACAAATACGGTGTTAAACTGTACAAAATTGCAGACAATACTGGATATAATTACGGCATACAAATTTATAAAGGTAAAAGCCAAAGACCACAGGGAAATATTTTCCTGTCAACTGATGTTGTGCTAAAGCTAGGCGAAATATATTTAGGCCAAGGACGTACATTCACAACAGACAATTACTACACATCGATTGAACTGGCAGAGCATTTATTGGAAAGAAACACCCATCTTGTAAAAACACTGAGAAAAAATAGGAAAGGCATCCCCAAGGAAGTAGTAAACAAAAAATTATCTAAAAGCAAAATTATTGGTATGTATAATGAAAACGGAAAAGTTGTAGCAAAGTGGAAGGATAAACGAAATGAGCTTATGTTGTCTACAAAACATAAAACAGAAATTACTTCTACAGGTAAAAGAAACTACAAACAAGAAGAAATTTTTAAACCTAAAACAGTTCAAGACTACAATATTGGGAAAACGGGTATTGATTTATCTGATCAATACTCTAGTTACTCCAGTGCAGTACGAAAGTCGGTAAAATTGTATCACAAAGTTGCAATGGAGCTTATATTTGGGACTACCATTGTCAATGCACATATCATTTACAATAAAATAGCTGATAAAAAAGTATCCATTACCACCTTCAAAGAGTCTTTAGTGAACAGCTTACTCATTGGTGATGAAAGTCAAGAACCTGCAGCTCGAAACCCGAAAGAACCACACACATTAGAAACAGTTAGAGAAGTCGACAAAAGACATAGAAAACTAAGAAAGCGTTGTGCATCCTGCTACGCTAAAAATAGAGAGGAATTTGGAAGTCATAAGGCTGATTTAGCGGGTGTAACGCCAAGAGTTGCAACATATTGTGTGCAGTGTCCAGGAGAACCTGCAATGTGTTCAAATTGTTTTGTGAAAATTCATAAATGAGTATTATATATGTATGTAAAACGTTTGTATTGATTTTTATATTTTTATACTCATTACAGTCGACCCCCCTATAACACTGTTGATTATTCCATTTTATAGGAATTCCATGTTGTACAAGTCACTTAGATTTTACAAATATGTGAGCCATTCACAGCCTGGCACACGTATTTGTAAATTCTAAGTGACTTGTACAACATGGAATTCATATAAAACGGAATATTCAACAGTGTTATAGGGGGCGACTGAATAAATTTTTTTTTCTAAATATATATTATCACTTGTATATAATTTTTGTTCTGTAATATTATATGAATGTAAAACTTTTGTATTGATTTTTATACTCATAAATTTTTTTTTATTTCCACTTATATACGATTTTTGTTCGATAATAAAAGCAAATAATTTAAACTAGTTTTCGTTTTTTATCCTTTTTTCACCTTTTCACTATTTAAAAAATGTTATCAGACATAAAATAGCTTTTTATTAAAAAAAACTACGACTGCAAACCTTGAATCACTTCATAAGGCCATTACGACGCGCCGGCAGTCGTAGCTCGACGCCGGGCCATCTGGCCGCCGGCATTAGAAATCAAGGTCATAGACATCCACGAGAGGCCACCACTACCATGCAGAAAAACGTCGTACGAGGCCAGGATAATTTAGCCTGGAGTAAAACTACATTGTTTTGACGACNCGACGCGCCGGCAGTCGTAGCTCGACGCCGGGCCATCTGGCCGCCGGCATTAGAAATCAAGGTCATAGACATCCACGAGAGGCCACCACTACCATGCAGAAAAACGTCGTACGAGGCCAGGATAATTTAGCCTGGAGTAAAACTACATTGTTTTGACGACGTCAGGCGGTCGTACGGCGCTGTACGACGGCACGTCGTACGACCGCCAGCGCGTCGTATGGCAGCCAACGTGTTAAATTCTAAGTTACCCAAAACATTCTTCAAATCCAAATATATTTTAAAATTTCAAAATTTTTATTTAAGGAATAAATAAGTAAATACTGTTTGGAAGAGAGCAAATATGAATTGTATGAAAAATAATAATTATAAAATTTAATTGTAATTTAATTCAATTCTTGGTCTATAAAATTTTTTCATTACATTGAAGTTGTAGATCCTATCAAACATTTTTCTACAGGATGTATGTACTGTTCATTTTGGCACAGTCTTTGGAATGTATTGACTGTGCAAAAAGACGGATAGGTGTACTCAATGTTTACAGTAAATGTCAATATTCCATACTGTAAGAAATGTGAAGGTCAGAGAATTTGGACAAAGCTGGTCAGGGAAAGTCATGGAATTCAAAAAAAAAACTTTGAGTAGGATCCCTGTATATACAAAAAAACGACAACAACAACAAGTCGATCGCGACACATTTTTAAGATATAAAGTAGATCTTCCGTACATAAAAGTTGGCCACCCCTGCTGTATAGTATATTTACCTATAACACCTAAAACTGAAAGAAAAGTGTGGCCTAAAAATACAGGCTCACAAAGTTAATTACATGAACACATTATAATTGACTGCAAGGAGAAAAAAAGCAAATTAATAATTTTACAATTACTAATAATAAAAAACAGAATGACAATATTAAACTTAAAATTATAGTGTGGGCTAGTAACATAGAATTTATATAAGTGTATAACCTAATTCAGTCTTCTCTTGCTGTACTGCTATTTATAATTAATTCATTTTCATTGTTAATTTCAGATTGGAGCTAAACCTAAATAAAATATCATCAAAAACTTAGATTATAATAATCAGGTAAATTTTTATTTTCTGTCTTAAACCGATTAAATACTTTTTAATTTCAATTATATTTTTCAAATTATAAAAAAAGATGATTAGTCATTAATTACACACTGAGTATTTTTTGCTAAAATATACTAATTTAAATGAACAGAGCAATTTTTTTGATAATAATAAGAATAAATAATATTCTGCTTCAGAAGTTATCATCATTTATTCACTTTCAAAATATTAACACTTTGAGTAATGTATTCGGATTGATTTTTAATCCGAGTTGTGAACAGTACTTCTGCATTAAATTAATTTTCTTCTGGAGACCAATTTTAGTGCTCGAGATTAGTACAATATTGTCTGCATATTGGATTGAGTGTATTATCTGATTTTCTATCAATATTCTGTCTTCTTTATCAAATTGTTTATTAATGTCATGAACCAAAAAATTTACTTCCGTCCAATTAAATCTTTTTGCAAGGATTGTTGTAAAATCTTTCTTAATGATGATAGTATAGCAATAAGTCTATAATTGCTAGAATTTGAGCCATTGCTTTTTATTTAAATATCATATGGAAATATTATGAGCACCATGATCCAGGATATGTGTGCTATTTCCAAACATATAATTTAAAGTTGAGTGCTAATATATCAGCTGTTTCAGATGGCAGTCGTTTTAATAAACTGACTGGAATTGAATCAGATCCAGTAGCAGTGGTTTCTTTTAATTTGTTTATGATATTTACTATTTCTAAAGCCTGTACTGGCAGATTCAATACCCTCTGATCTCTATTCATTATTTCCTAATTCATTTCTGGCATAATATTTATAACACTTGACTGCCTTTTTTCAAAAAAGCCAGACCATTTATGTAATCAACTTATATATTTCTAAAATCATAGAAACATTGCCAAATTCAGTAGACTTTATTTGTATTTTTAAATCGACTAAAATGCAACCTTTAAATATTTGGAAAGAAAAGTAAACAAACAAACTTATACCACTTTCAAATTAAACAGTACATATGTTGGATGAGGTTTTGCAAAAGTGGACCGTATAACACATAATAGTAATCTGGTAATGGGCATGGTTTATTATTGCGGCAAAAATTCGATTATGTTTATTTTTATTTTTTAGTTTTATTCCTATACGAATCGTATGTGCAATTTTTGTACGTTTCTACTACGCGACTGCGCTTTACATTGAAATTTGAGTTTCTAAAAGCTTGTATTCTATTTTTAGCATTCTTTTAATTTGAAATCATTTAACTGACGATGGCTGTTTAAAACAGTCGAAAACGTTATCATCTTATTAATTAAATAATTGCTGGAATTAATAAGGTGTTGAGTTTTTACTTAATTATTTCTTTTTTACTCTTATTCTCAATTGTAACATGTAACTTTTATTTCAAATTAGATTTAATAATGTCTTCAAATAAAAAGATTAAAGTAACGGAACTCTCAACCTACTTTGATGAGCTGTCAGACTCAGACATTGAATCTGACAGTGACAGTCAGAGTAGTGTTGAGATTCCAGAGTACAGGGACCTGTACTCAGATTATGACAAAGAGAAGGAGGCTTCAATCATAGCACCCGCAACCTCGACGTCAGCTGGACCATCCACGTCTGCTGGACCATCCATGGCATATGTTGGACCCTCCTCTATTCAGCTTTCTGATGACGAGTTAGAAGATGAGGTGTACGTTGAAGTTCTGCCACCAGAAAAATCTCTACCTGCTCCTTTCCCTTTCAATGAACTATCTTGCCCCAAACATATGCCTCCTCCTGATTCTCATCCTGTAGAGTATTTTCACCTTTTTTTTCACTTTTACTTTGCTTTTTCTTATGGTGACAGAAACTAATAGTTATGCCAAGCAAGTCATAAATGGCATGGGGGAAAATGTTCCCAAATATCTGAAAATGTGGAAACCAGTCACTATTAAAGATATGAAGAGGTTTTTGGCTATTATGATTACTGGTCCAATCTTCCTCCGTACGTATCTATGTGGTACGCGGAAATTTGTAGTAGGAACCGCTTTTATCACTGGCTTCGATTCTTCCATCTCGTAGATAATAGTAAGTTGCCTGGCCCAAGGGAATTAGGTTATAGTGCCTCTGCAAGGTATCAACCTTTGGAGGATCATGCGAACAGGGTGTTCAGACATCACTATACCCCACATCGTGAAATACGCGTCGATGAATCACTAGTGGGTACCAAGTGCCATAATCCGAACATTCAGTATCTTCCCAAGAAAAAACATCACAAGTGGGAAATCAAACTTTGGATGCTGTGTGACTCTGTTTCACACTATTACGTGGGCTTCTTCACTTACAAAGGGGCCAAGTCCCAGGCTGAGAAGCACAGTATCTCAAAGTTTGCTTTGGGATATACTGTTGTTAGGTAGTTAGTGACACTTGGTAACTACAATAACAAAGGTTATCACGTGTTTATCGATAATTATTTCACGTCTGTATCCCTTGTTCGTGGCCTATATTCCCGTGAAACTTACTGCACTGGGACAGTGCGAGCGCTCAGAAAACAATTACCTCTAGGCTTCAAGGAAAGATTCACTGTAGGCCAGATCAAGTATTTCAGGTCTGGCCCCATATTGGCCTGTGGGTTCAGGGAACATGAGAATAATCCACAACCGGTATGTCTTTTATCCAGCCACAAAGGGGCACACGACATCCAAATTGTTAAGAGACACGGGGTGGAGAAAGTAAAACAACAAATAGTTTTCTCATATAACAAGTTCATGGGTGGGGTCGATACACACAATATGATGCTATACACGTATTTGGATGAAAGGCGGACCAGGAAATGTTGGAGGAAAGTGGCTTTCAATATTATGGCCAGGATGATGTTGAATGCATATATTCTTTACAAAGAAAAGTCTGGAAGCCGGATAACCCACCAACGCTTCATCCAAGAGCCTGAAAAAAGAATCAAAGGAGGAGACCGTGCCTATATGCCACACACTCCCAGATCCCAGAGGACCACCAGGACTCCGAAAATTGCCTGGCAGGCAGCAATTCCGCTGCGTCGTGTGCAGCACGCCAAATCACAAAAGGACATCGACTAGAGTATGTACAAGATGCAGGAAAGGACTTCACGCAGATTGTCTCATCAGACATCAGTGCTAACATGAAAGGTACAGTACATGAAATATTGATATAATTATAGTAGAGCATCGATTATCCAACCCAATTGGGGACTCGGGTTGGTTGGATAACTGAAAAAATCAGA